GTTAAGCAATAGACCCTTCTCAGAACCCACTGAACTTCTTCAGCTACCTTTCATCACACACTTAATCCACTAAAATGGGATGTCAGTTCAAGGTCTCTGCAAAATAATTTACCAGAATTTATATGGCCTGAGGGCTGGATGACCCCACCTTTAACCTAAAGCATGACTGGTCTCATATGACATCCATCCTTATACCGATAATAATAGAAACGAGGCTGCGACTAGTGATAGAACCACAGCTGACAGAAGAACAGATGGGTTTCAGAAGAAATATAAGCTGCACAGACTTATTTGCAGTATCTGTAGACGAGGAGAAAGCTTTTGACAGGGTTGATAGACAAATTATGAAAAGTAATGGCTAGATATGGAGTAAGTGAACACCTCATTGAAGTTTGCAAAAGCTTATACAGCGATTGTTAGAAGCATAGTTAGAATAAACAAGGCAACATCTTAACCATTCAAAGTAACATCTGGAGTAAGACAGAGATATGTCTTATCACCACTTCTGTTTATCCCCTACATTGACAGTATAAGCAAGGATGCCAGGCCCAGGAACAAATATAACAGTAAAATCAACGAATTACTCTTTGCTGATGACCAGGCCTTGCAGATACAGCCATCTCATATCCATCCATAGATGAAAAATATAAATGAAACAATATGAGAATCAACATCGAAGACAGAAGTAATGTCTATAGAAAGAAAGAAGCAGGATTTAAAAATGGCATTAGAGCATATATACATTAAACAGGTATCAGAGTTTAAATACCTTGCAACAACATTCAATGAAGATGGTAAATTGGACAAAGAAAGTAATGTCCGATGTAGCTGCGCAGGCCAAGTATTGGGACAGCTAGTCCCCCTCTTACAGTAAAGGCAATCCCAATCAGCACAAAGAAACATCTCATACAAAGCATACTTATTCACACCCTATGCTACCAGTGCCAGATGTGGTCACTCACCAAAAAAAAAAAAAAAAAAATTTGTAACCATGGAAATGAGGTTTCTGAGAGACTGTAGGAGTGACCAGAAGGGATAAAAATCAGGAATGAGGTCTTACGAGATAAAGTCAGCACAGAACCTATTCTAAATTAAATACAAAGACAGTAAATCAAATGTTTTGCGCACTTGGAGAGAATGTCTCCTGATGCTATACCATACAAGGCATATAAAAGAGGAGAGGGACGTAGAGCAAGAGGCAGACAAAGAACAAGACGGGAAGATGGGATCAGAGAAACTACAGCACCATGATGTGTCTATGGTTGAAGCAGTCAGAAGAGCACGAAGCAGGACCTTATATCTCCTTTGACACCCGTATTCGTAAAATAGGATGTAACGAAGGAGAAGAGGGAAGCAAGAGAGAAGATATGGCATTGAAACTCATCTGTCAGAATTGATCAGAAGTACACAAGACAGTCGATTGTTGAGCGAACATGACTACCAACGCCACACAGCATTGGTATAGCAAATCTACTCTAGCATTCATTGGCTGTTTGTGGTGTTACCACAGTTTCAGTAGTTTTTCATTGCCTTCTGAATGGTGCAGGCAGAAGTCACAATCAGAACTGTTTGTGCAACTGACAAGATAGTGCATGGTGAGGAATGGGTTACAGTGCCGCCCAGCAAAACAGACTTGCACAAAGTGAGTTAACTTGGATCGAGAGTACCTGGATTGGATAGCTAGTGAAACGAGAGGCATCGATGCAAGAGCTGATCAATGAATTCATGTCCAGGTGTTATGGTTATATACACAAATGGGTCTGTAGTGAGAGGTAGAAAGAGTGGGTGGAGTTTTATCGCAAATGGTGATTGACACTGAAAATAGACAGCCTCGCGTACAACATCCAGTATGAGAATGGAGGTGGAGGCATTAACAGCAGCACAGCCCAACTTGTGGTCATTTAACAGACTCACAGAGCATGCTTCTAAAAATAGATACTCGCATCCTGCGCAGAGACGCTTGCTTCACTTGATAAGAGCAAATGATTTTCTGTTCAGGATATTCAGATATACTAGGTAATCAGAAAGCTGACAGATTGGTTGCTGCCGCTCCTATGGGTGGTGAGCTACGTTATAACAATGTGGAAGTGGCAAAGGCTCTCTGAGATCAAGTGGACAATGCAACAGAACAGACCAAGGATCCGTACATTGTCAAGACTAATTCAGCGAGGGGTAAGCAGGAAGTCTAGAAGATATTCAACACTTCAGAGAAAACATTGGCGGACTTTTAATCAGGTTGTTACAGATACTGTTAGCGTACAGACCCTTTGTTGGCTACTGAAGGAAGTTTAGGTTTAGATGATAGATCAGCATCATCATGGCACAAGGGTAGTAACCCATAAGTGCTTCGTATTACTTCTAACTCAAGTCTGAGTCTGAAGAATCTCAGCAGATTGCATGAACTCCGTAGCACTGGCAAGGATCCTGAAATACTTCGGGTCGATATTTTAACTTCAAATTTTGCCCGGACAGCGTCGTTAGGATATTCATTTTTATAATTTCCAACTGCCAAGGAATTTTTTATGTGAGCAACAATACACACAGGCGTTGGATCTTACTACCCAGATGCCAGGAGGAATTATTAGAAGTCTAGGTGAAAAAATATCCCAACCTTTACCGGGGCTTAAACCCGGGTCCTCCAGCACTCGAGGCAGACGGCATACAGCCCCCTGTGGCTACTGAAGAAGAAAAAGAAACATGTGTGGGAATGTCCCGTGTGCAGAAATGTAAATTCTCAATTCGTTCATTCCTTTTGAATAGTATGACTTAACGTTTATCAAAATCAGTGCACAGCGGTTTATTACCAAATCACTGTGGATGATATGGAAGTCAGGTATTGCCAAAATTGTAAAACTGCACTCGCTATCCTTAAGCCACAATTGACCAAATATTTCCTCTTCTTCAGTGATCTCTGATCATGTTCTTAATCCACTGTATGCCATAAACTGGGATGTCAGCTCAAGGTCTCTTTCATGCCTGCTGGCTGTGGCCACACGCTGTTTCACAACTCCTCCAGGAGGCGGGAATCTCGCAACACTTCTTCTGGGGTCAGTTCATCATGTAGACACTGGCAGAGCACTCTGCAGCTCATAATTAATATACATACGTGTTTGTTGGCAAAATATTTCAAGAAAACGCTCAGTACATTCACCACTGTCAAATATAACTAATTTCAAGAAAACTGTGCGATAACATGATTTATTCACAGAAAAATTAAGCATTTCATACATTGGTAAATATACTAAAGTGAATTTGATTTATTGTAGGCAAAATACAATGCAATGTACACATTTCTCTTCCAATGGATTGTTAAGAAATCAGCAGGCTGGATGAAGCACCTGATGTGGAGTACAAAGGAACTGCAACTTTGCTAAATAAGCAATGCATTTTTTATTTTACTCCAGTCACTCTATACCCTTAGCAGACTTCAACTGGTGGAATTTTGCAGCTAAGTATTTTTAGCAGATGAGGCCCCAGTCTCATGTCAACCCTTATTGGTTGCCTCTTACGGTATGTATTAGTTACAGTGTGACCATTCATTGTTTGCCTCAGCAGAACAAAAATGAGGGAAACACACCATAACACGAGAACACAAGCTGTCATTACAACCACCCGCCTGGAGGTACACTGGCTATATAATGCTAGCTTAACATTTTTATAATCAACAAATGAGCACTTTATGAGTGATGCAGCCAATAGTGTCAGCTGCCTTTGCTTCCTAGAGCAATTCCTGGTACCCAGTTTTAGACTGAACTGACCTGGGAGTCCAGATCAGCTTGCAAAAAAAAAAAAAATGAAATCTGCTTTCAGAAATGGGAAACGGTGGATTGACGGGGTCTCCGAAACCTGCCAAAAGCATGGCCTCAGAACATCAGATGCTGCCCGCCTTGCTTATAACAGGAACTTGCATCTCCCCACAACGCTTAGCGGCATACGTGGAAGGAAAAAGTAAGTAAAGTAAGTTACTGAGAGCAAGGTTGGGTATCTTTCACTGCTTTCCACAGTTAATATTCTCTTGGTGCTTAAAAGCAGTTTTGCTCTTTACTGTGTCAGCTGTGTTTGAGAAGTTTTGCCTGCTGTAAATACAGTTTTTGTAGATTCTTGCTTTTATTTTTATATTTGCTTTCATTATTGGCCTTCCCACATTATCCGCCAGTTTTTAAGAGTTTGCTAAAAAAGATGTAATAAACTGGGCATATTCTAGGGTTAAATATGATACATTCATTTCTACGCAGACTTCTAAAGCCTGATTAAAAAAAACAACAACAACAACAAAAAAGAAAAAAAAAGCTGAGCCCATAAAGGCGAAGTTTAGTTAATAAAAGTAGTAGATGCATAAACACTCCTTATATTAGTTACAAAATTATGAAGGATGAGAAAGCTGCAAGTCCTGATGGTATCCCAGCAGAACAGCAAAAGACATTTAATTAATCAACACAGAATGGGCAAGATCACAGCTGTATTAGGCATGTGGAGCTATTTAGATCACTGCACCTACAGATCTGTCTGATGTGACATGAGAACGGGCCTCACTAACAGTTTACAAATGATTTAAGCTAATGTACATGTACAAGATGCAGTTAACACAGAATGGATTCAGTCATTTTATGCCTGTGAGCTACTGAGGAAAATAGAGTATCTATGGATCTGTCTGACGTGCTGGATGATGGTCTTCATGTATCACTAATACAGTCACAGATGATTTCAACATACGGCAGTCTAATGGTACATGGTACAAAAACTACACTGTTGACATCAAAAAACCTCAAATTCCTGTAATGCTCTATTTTAACTTTTTATTTATTTAAATTAATGTCACTGATTATTTCTAAAATATTTCCCTGAATTTACATTTGACAAAGATTTCTGTAGAAAATGAAAATAACAGAGTGTAATACTTGTAGTCTATGGAAGGCATGTTTTGTTCAACAAAACAAAACAAAGAATATCAGAAGTACAGAAGGAAAGGCTGGTCCATATAAGCAGTGCCAAGCAGCCTGTTAAATATTTGATTGCTGGTCAAGGAAGGTTCGAATCCTCTGTAACAGTTCCTTCTTAACTTCATCTGGAACTAGCGCTGGGGAAAGAGAGTAAGCAAACAATTAGGGCCCAGTAACACCTTAAGAAGAAAATGTCCTATTTCACGGAAACAAATACAAATACAGAGGTTCTTAAATAAATAAAAAGAAGACAACTTAAGAGCAAGACAGCAAGAGGTAGACAACGTTACAAGCAGGAGGACAACATCAAGAGATGGACGAACAGCAGTCTGTGAGAGTGTATAACCAAGACAAGAGACAGAGCGTGTTGTAGATCCATTGCGGTCAACCTTCACTGTGGCGATGGCGCCCTGATTTATTGATGAACACAATTTAAAAGGGAAGTAACTGCCTTCTTTTTTTAACCGCTTCAAGTGTTGAGGGAGATAAATGGTTTTGGTTCTTGCTTTTATGGCCATCTTGACCATAGACACACTGTACTGTTGTCAAGTTTCTATGATGTTATATTTCTATTTTGTTCTTGATCTACCTCATGTCCATGTCTCTCTTCTCTTTTGGTTAAGTGACTTGTCTGATATGGCATAACAAAAAATTTTTTTCCAAGTAGGCAAACACATTTTTTTAATGTATAGTAGGATGCGCAAATAAGACCCATAAATGGAATTATAAATCCGTTCTTTATCCTCTTCTGTCAGCGCAGCTTCTTCTCCTTCTTCTTCACATTCACTGACCAGAAAACTCTGACAGGAAGTTGCAGTTCTTCCCCCTTGTCGTTTTGCTCTAGAACATTGTTTTCCAATATTTTTGGCCCACTGGTCCCTTTTCAATATTTAAAAAAAAAAAAAAATTGTTCAGCACCCCCGGGAAATATCATCGTGGGCCATGCCGATAAGCACAGGTGGTTATCATTTGCCATCCTATATGATCAGTAAAATCGCGGATCAGGTCATTGCTCATCCCATGCATGTGACCCAGCCATCAATGTAAGTATCTTTTTGCTTCCCCTCTGCCTTTTTTTCTGTAATTTGTATACTCTCTCCAGTTCAGTTTCACAGATTGTTTTTCTGAACATGACGTCTTAAAGCTATAGGACAGGTACTTGCTCTATGGGAACAAGCAATAGAATCAGTAGAGAAACAAGATTATTATGGTCTGGAGACAATGAGGCACCTGGGTCTGGCCGGCTCACAACACTCAGATAAAAGGAAAGACAGACATATAACCAGATTGTGACCGGTACCATCAGTACTGAAACTCTGTGCTGGCAGCTGAAGATGAGGATGGAGCCCACATGAGAATGCCCAGAGTGCTGTGATGTCAATTCTGGACTCAACTCAAGACAGGTGCAGGCTGCATGAGAATTCCTCCAGCCTTCGTGAGTGTATCTGCCTATCCATTTCTAGGCTTATCAAGGTGGGCTGGAATTCTGTTTTTGTAGAGAGCATTCTTTTCTATCTCCCCCCCCCCCCCCCCATTTCCACCAAAAGGGTTCCAGAACCCAAATGGAGAAAGTGCTAGATCAATAAATTTTATAGAACAACTGGCGCTCAACAGGTGAGGTCAACAGCATGCCACCACATCTTCACATCCGTGACCATTTCCAAATTCCTGAGATCAAGCTGGCAGGCAAATAGTTAGCATTCTGCAGCGCTGTGGCTCCGAGTTAGAATAATAATTATAGACACGATTTCTACAGGTAGCTTAAAACAGCAAAACAAAACAAAAATGTGTAAAAACAACTGTGTCCTTGTTATTTGTCACTCACATCTTCCTCTTGGTGTGATTTCACTGACTAGGTCATCCACTGTGATGTGTTCCAGGCCTTTTTGCTGAACAATTTCTGAAAATAGTCAGGTATCATCTAATTTTACTTAAAAAGAAAATACAAACAAAATGGGGCATTGAACTGATAAAGCAGTGCCAAATACCAAGGAAATACAAAGTAATTTGTTTTTTTTTCGGAACTAGTAACAAACTTAGGCCCAGCTCCGCCCATCCACACACTAGGTCACCTTTTACTGATGCTTGGTCAGGCTAGTCCACGTTGCTCAAGGTTACAGTGGTGCCCCGGTCTACAGCTGTAGACTGCACACTCTTGTGGGACCTAGGTTCAGTGTGTGAGGGAGGGGAGTTGGGGTTAAGGCTAGTTGTGCATGTTATGGGGTTATCAAAGGCGCTTACATCCTGTAATATAGAGCAAGCGTGGTCGCCAGTAGGAGCAGGTTAAGGCAGATTGAATGTCCAGTCACAGTGTTCTGGCCTGACTCAGTCAATCATTAGTGTGTATATGGACGGTGTTGGGCCTGAGTTTGTTATATGTACCGTTCTTTTCTTTTTGGACAACACATTGCCTCTATCAACTAATGAGCAGAATCAAAGCAACAGAGACAAGTTGTCTCAGTAGAGCTACTGAAATTACAAAGTAAAAGACCCCTTTTCACGAAATTCAGGTGTATTGGGTATACAGGGCTAGACCTATATTTTATAGACCAATGGCACAAGATGGGTGATGTGGTCAGCATCACGCCAGCCGCCTTTACTTCCCAGCTGGCCATTATGATACGGCGACTCCTACTGAAATTACAAGGGAAAATATAATTAAAATACACTTAGAAGATCACTAGAACTGAAATGAGCTCTACAGTCAGTTACAGAGCAACAGATAAAAATGGTCTAACCATCTGATAGGAAGGTCCTGATACCAATATCACCACAGGGTGAGGGGAAAATCAAGCAAAAGATGGGCTCATAGGGTTAAAAACAACCTTAATGGTAATGAAGAATAACTCACAAAGCATATTAGGCAGCACATACAGAAGACCCCCCCCCCCCCCCCCCCCCCCACAAAGGTTAAAGGAAGAGGAAAAGAAGAAACAACAGTGCCCACCTACATATGTTTTTAAAATACAAGCTGCATGAATGTGCTTTAAAAACCTATTAATCATCTACAGAATATGCAATATTTTAAAATGGCAGTGACCTTTATTTTTGTTTACGATTTAATTATAAATACAATATTTTCTTTTACTTGATGAATCAATAGTTTCTAGAATCATAACTGTGATGGCAAAGAAAGAATTGAGTGTTAAGTATGATCTTTTTCCTGTGGAAAATATCAATCAATTAGGTGCCATCTCCACAGTGCATGCTGGCTGCAACAGATCAACACCTTTCACCAGTCATCCTGGTTGTGCACATAGTGAGACTGCTGTTTGCCTATCTCTTGACCTGTCATCCTGGTTGTGCACATAGTGAGACTGCTGTTTGTCCATTTCTTGACCTGTCATCCTGGTTGTGCACATAGTGAGACTGCTGTTTGTCCATCTCTTGACCTGTCATCCTGGTTGTGCACATAGTGAGACTGCTGTTTGTCCATCTCTTGACCTGTCATCCTGGTTGTGCACATAGTGAGACTGCTGTTTGCCTATCTCTTGACCTGTCATCCTGGTTGTGCACATAGTGAGACTGCTGTATGTCTATCTCCTGACCTGTCATCCTGGTTGTGCACATAGTGAGACTGCTGTTTGTCCATCTTTTGACCTGTCATGCTGGTTGTGCTCATGTGCGACTGCTGTTTGTCCATCTCTTGACCTGTCATCCTGGTTGTGTTTATAGTGAGACTGCTGTTTGTCTATCTCTTGACCTGTCATCCTGGTTGTGCACAAGTGAGACTGCTGTTTGTCCATCTCTTGACCCTTGTCCTCCAGCTTGTACCACTATCTCTGCTCGCCTGCCTTTAACCGTTCTCTCCAGTGCAGTTTTTATAACAGTATTATGTTCCTAAATGTGCCATAAGGTATTTCAGTTGTCTCCATCTCTCTCACTCTCTTTCTTATTTTTTTTTCCTCTGCTCCTGAAATACCTTGCAGCCTCAGGGTAGGAAGAGATCCCTGGAATGGACCTGTTGGCTTTGTGTATAGTACTTTATAGTGAATTTGATATTTCTGTGGTCCAGGTTCTACATGGTCGACTTCTGGCTCCGTTGCTATCGTATCTGTATAACACTGCTCTCTGTGGTACCCTGCCTGGTGCCAATCTTGTTACGTGGCCAAGCCACTTGATCTGTTGTCTACTGATAAAGTTCAGTAATGGTTCTGGGCTGACTCTCCTCTTGATATCATCGTTCTGAAGTCGATCTTTTCTTATTACACCTAGCATAGTACATAAACATTTCATGTCGGTCGTGACTATTTTTCTTACGTCATCTGAAGGCAGCGTTAACTTCACGTCCCGTAAAGAGGTCACTACAGACAAGTCGGAGAAACGACATTTATGGGGAATTGGCCAGAACAGTTCTGCAGGTTTCTTGGCCAACAGGGTTAAAATATGCGAAAGCTTATACTCAACATTCCATTGGCAGTAACTGCTATGTAATTAATTCTGCCTGATAAGTTTCAAAAGTTACAAATAAAATCTGAGTCAGAAGCAGTGCACAAACCTTTACAATATGCCTTCAGCTGATCCCTCCAACCACATTCAATCAGCCTGGCTCTCAGCAGCTCTTTCAATCTGTTACACACAAAAAAAAAAATTAAGTTAACAAAAAGGTTGGTAATATCCTACCCCAAGCAGGGGAAATCACCAGGTCATGGGACAGTCTAATAATTCAGGGGGTGGTAGATAGGCTGTATGCAGTCACGGGACCTAGGCTGCACTTTCTCGTGGGACGTAGATGGGTTGAGGGTTAGGGCCAGTTCTAGATGGTTTTTTTTGGGTCGTTAAAAACAACAGAAAGCCAGGAAACCCAATCTTACCACCCTCTAAAATATTGGACTGTCCTGTGACATCATCTGGGGTAAGATAATAATAAAGAACCAAAAGGTTTAGAGGCGAGAAGAGACTTCACTGCACTGGGTTTTATCCCATAAGGCTTTGTCTCTGCTGAGTGGCTAGATGGCTGTAGACAGCAAGACAAAGCATGAACTCTGTAGCTCCATTGATGTTAAATTTGGTTCTCAGAAAGAAAAAAAAAATACATTTACAGACAAAACAATGAACAGCCAGCTATAAAAATGATTAGTGAAATCAATACAAGGCAGTCTGCTACCAAATTAACTGCATTAAATGGATATCTGAGAATCACAATCAGTTAAAGAGCTGCAAATGATTCAGATACTGTAATAACTAAAAAAATATCAAGTGAGAAAGGAAAAAGAATTCTTAAAAGCTAAATAAATCATAGCTTGATATATGAAAGCGAATCATGGACAGTTGTTAAATTAGTGAAAACTTATTTGGAAGCTGTGAAGATGTAGTTTTATAGACAAATAATGAGAATACCATGGACAGATAAAAAGCGTAATGAAGATGTCTTGAAAGAAACTGTCTCACAAAGAAAACTGATTGCCCACATCAGAAAAAGGTAATCTTTGTTCATATCATGAACAGGGGAATACTGAAGTACATCTTGACAGTAGGAAAGTTGGAGAGGCAGACAGAGACAGAGAGAAAAGATGCTGGACAGTTTGATATCATGGCATGAAGGATTGTCTGTGTCAGAGTTGACTGAAAAAACAGGAGACAGAAGGTTGTGGATGGCCATGACTACCAATGTCACACTGCATGGACTTTAAGAAGAAGAAGAAACTATAATAGCTGATTAAATAAATCAGATGTAGAAAGTGACCTTGCGGACCTAACAAGAAAAGGAATAAACTGAAAAACTTGATAAATGCAAAAAATAAATAAAAGAAGATACTGTACTACCTTTCTCTTTCTCCAGTCTCGATCAGTTTTTGATTGATGGTCGCCCGCATCTGTGCATCTTTTAGCTTACGCTCTTGAAGACTGAAATAACATCAAATAAAAGTTAAATACAAACAACAAGCACTAGTCCAGAGCTTTCCTTGATGCACTCGTGACACATAAGTTTGCTGGTTGCAATGTACAGGTGTGTCACACAAACGTACAGCATGAAACAGAATTCTGTGTTTGTTTATTAGAGTTAGAAGTATAACGGAGCACTTATGAGTTACACTGTAGCCATGTTATTGATCTGTTGAATAAACAAAAGACTAGAGACCAGGGGAAATTACTAGAAGTCCAGCGAAAAAATCCCAGCCTTCACTGGAGCTTGAACCCGGGACCTCCAGCACTCGAGGTGGACACTATACCTCGAGACTACTCAGTTTTTTAAACAGAATAATAGGCATGCAACAATAAACTAAAACCTGGAGTTTGTTAGTAGACTCAAGTATGTGTGCCGATATTGTGTTTTTCTAAAAAGTGTCACCGACATAAAATGTCCGGAAAGCTCTGCACTAGTCATAACCCCTACCCCCTTTTGTAGGGGTCCCGGGGTCCCATTGTGGAGAAAACAAGAATAGACTCACTGCCTCCCCAACAAGCATATCGAAGTCAGAGTACATCTGCCTGAGAGGCAAGGCACCAACAGTTTGCATTCAAATATGTCAGATATGTAAAACGGATGTGCAGGCAAGACTCAGGTTCTGGAGCAAGACCAGAGGTGGTTCTTCTTCTTCTTCGATCCTTCTGTCAGAAAACATATATCAAGAGGTCTGTAGCCTTTATGAAAGCTATCGTGCAGTCCATATCCTCTTGTGTACCATACAGCTTTGTCTTCATTGTGGATAAAACAGGCCAGATTGCGTCTCTGTTGTCAGCTTACAGTTGACAGGGTTGGAGCACATGCTCAGCATTTTCGGGTACCATGCTTCAGGGTCATGTCTCAGTGTTTCCTATACCGAAAAATGTGAACATTTGTTGAGGAAATCTGTTGTGCCCAGTCCTTAGTCTGAATATAATACACTGTCCCTCTCTAGAGAGGCGATGAAGCGAGTCTTGGGGAGAAAATCTGGTGTGTGTATCCAACCAACATTCTTGGATACTAGATTGTATTAATGTTTTCGTCTCTTGGTGGGTTAAGTCGCTATTTGGTTGTACCATGTCACTACCGCTTCTGGCCAATCTGTCGGCTATTTCATTGCCTTCCAAGCCACAGTGACCTGGAATGCACTGCAGTACAGATTGTTCTAATGAAGAGCCTAAGTGAATCAGCTGTTGCATCAAGTCTACAAACTGAGTGTCTTTTGAAGTAACAATTTCTTGTAGAATGACATAGCATCAATCAGAAAGACACTCTGCTACATTTGCTGTTGTCCAATCAGGAAAAAACATGAACCTGACTGATTTTTTAAACCATCTGGGCATTCTGTGTATATAACCCCCCCCCCCCCCCCCCCCTCTTACTGCTCTCTTAGCTGAACCATCTGTATACACTCGAATCCAACTCTGGTGTAGATAAAGTCTATTGATCTCTCCTTCTGTAGTTAATTTCATATCAGTGCTCCTCACTGATGATTTAGAGGAGATCCCTGTTACAGTGTTCAGACTGTTGGCAGACTATCCCTAAGCCAAGGGGGGCAGTCGTTGTAAGGTTTCAGTGAAACATTAGGTATTATGGGAGGGAGTTTGAAGACAGAAGACTACCAATAACAACACAGACTCTGTATTCCAGTTGTGAATTCAAATAATGAGAACAAAAATATCATACTTCATAATTTATCACCAGCCGAGATGAACAGGACAGAATGTCAAAGAAGTTATCTTCATAACGACCAATGCCTATTCCACAATCAAGTAAATCAGCTACAGGACCACAAAAACCAACTATTATTAGAAAAATAAACAGACCGTCTGGTTCTGCATAACTTGGTGTGAAATGATGCATGACAAGCTAGATTTTATAAGGGCCCTTTGGGGGGTGAGTTAGCAGTGCACAGGCACAGATGGACCATCATTGTGTGAGGAAAATGGTACTGCAGGTAGTGACCAGGGGACGGATATACAATCAGACTAACATCAGAATTGGAACTGCTGCTGAATATGGTTGTTTCAATAATAAATGAACTTTTGCATGTCACTTCAGTTGCATTGTCACAATAAAAATAGTAATAGAATTAATAATAACTGTCTCCAGTTCATTTTATATAGCTTTGTGCAGAAAAACCGAAATTTTCTAATGCTATTAAAGCTAGAAAGTTCTTCATGAAAACATTTTCCATCGAAAAAAGGCACATATAAACATAACTGAGCCACGTCTATGATGTCTAGATTCATCAATGGCAATTGATAAAAATTCTGCCTGCTTTATGTTTTTAATTAAAGATTCAAAAACTTCAGTTCGTAAAATTTCGATTCTGCGTATCGTCCAAGTATGCGACAGAGGGATTTGCTGAACTGCATGTGACACACTTGTTTTTATTTTATCATCAACTGCTATTTCGTCCAGAACTGCTAGTATGCATTCTTTCACGGTTTCTGAGTCAGTAAAAGGCCGCTTCTTTTTGGCTTAATACCCACGAAACATGCAAAGAAGCCACTCATTTTCTTGTTGAGTACAAGCTCGCACAAACATTCTGTTGCTATGCTGATAAGTAGCAATCAATGACTCAACCTTTGATTTCCTAGCGGTGAAACCTTCTGGATATGATTTTCCAAAATCAGCGTGTTTCGTTGTAAAGTGCCGCTTTACGTTGTACTCCTTTACTGCCGACACACATTCGTTGCATAGCAAAAACATTGGTTTCGAATTAGGCATAGTTGGTGATATAAATAAATATTTCAGTGTCCAGTCATTGTTGAACATACAATTTTCACACTCTCATTTAGCTTTCTTACTAGTACCAGCCATGGCATCAAGTATGTCACTTAATTATTAAAATTTAGATAACTTTATACACTGTTACTGTTTCAGTTTTGCGTCCAGCAGTCTACGTCTGTCTGTGACTTGCACACTAGACGTTTACAAAATATCTGATTATAATCTAACAACAAGATCACTAGCAGGTGTTCTGCGATGTCCAGTGTCACTAATGTTCTGCAGCACCCATTGTCATTAGTCTTTGTTTACGAGTGGTCAACTTTAAGGAATAGTTCTAAGTGCTAACTATCTGGATTGGGATTGGATCTCCATACGCCTCCTGTCAAATAAATATCTCACCTTCATTGACTGTCCAGTGGAGCGACTGCTCCCTACCATGGTTACTTGATTCTTTCCAGCCTATCTTATTACCTTTGGCTCCAAACAGGCGAGTTCTGCTATTTGAAGTAACTTTTACCGTGAACTAATTACATTTCCATGCTTCAGACATTCCCGCAGTTGTGGTATTGTATGTTCATACGCCTGTTCCCTTGTATCTTCGCATTTAGAGATCCCTGACAAAAATATCCTATCGTGGCTATCTTCCGAATAACGGTCCCAAATTACCGAGGCAGAAAATATACCCTAACAGGGCCTCAGTCACGTGTCAATTGCGCACTTCCGGTGACTTAAATTGCGCATTTCAGGCGAATTCCGCCACTGCTGAGAGTATTATCCCCCCTAACTAGATGGCTGGGACCCACGAGCAGCAGCTACCGCATTTCCTGCAGCTGCCTTTATTTTATTTGCTCGTGAGTTTTTAAAGATTAATACAGAAACAGATTGGCCCGCGAGCCGCCAGTTGAAAAGCCCTAATACCATTTCTAACCAACCTGAACCATCCCAAAATTCTCAGTCACCAAACTGAGTGAGTCAATTCAATATTAATAACTCGATTCAATTCATCAACTAATTTTTTACTACTTTACTAGCACTACTACTACTACAGAGTCTATCATCATCAGTCCTCGTTATGCTAGTGGCACATGAGGCTTCAGAGAGGACTTTCCATGCTTTCCTGTCCTGTGCAATCTTCAGTGCAGTTTTCCATGTCAAAGATGCTGCACTGAGCACTCAGGTCACTTTCCATCGTTCGTCTCCATGTTGTTTTTGGGCGCCACTGTTTTCTCTTTCCCTCTGGTGTCCATGTGAGAGCTGTTTTGGCAGGTATATCAGAAGTTATTCTCATAACGTGGCCAAGCCATTTCCATCTTCTCTTGGTAATCATACTGTCTAAAGTTTCTAGGTTTGTGGCTTGAAGTAGTTTAGTGTTTGAGATTGTATCTGGCCAGAAAATTTTGATAATTCTTCTACGTAGACATGTGTGGTGGAAGGTGGACAGCTTGTGTGCATCCTTCTTGGTCATTCTCCAGCATTCCGCTCCATAAAGAAGAACTGGCAAAATGATGCTCTTGTAGAGTCGGAGTTTCGTTCCTTTGCAGTAACTGTTGGTTGGATTTCCAGATTTGCCTCTCTCATCCTTCGAAAAGCAGCTCTAAAGTCTATACCCACCGATAACTCCGACGAATTTGCAAGAAAATAATTTATTTGCCAAGAATAAAGAATAGCGTAATATTTTATACCACTTTCCTAACATATGGGTACAGGTAAAACAAGTGACATGCAAACACAAAGAGAGTTATTTCATACTCTACAATTTCAAACCACACACTTACTCCGCCATCTTGGAATGCTGATATTTGCATGGGAGGCAGTGGGAGGGGCGGTTTACACACCTTCTCTTGGAATTAATCTTATCCTTATTAATTTTTTTATCATGATATGAGCATAGAAATATAATATAAAATGTACTGTATTGAAATTGTTTACAAGTTTATATCTGTAAGAAAATAAAATTTGTTTTCAGAAGCATTTTTTTTTACAGAATACACATAAACCTCCCTCCATGGAAACCAAGACGCCAAAATGGCCGACAATATTGTCTTTCTTGAGTTCATGTCTGAGAATAGACGCCGGTAAATTGTGAACACTGTATTTAATCGTTTCGTAACGTAACATAATATATGAGAGGTTTTCAACAATCATCTTTCAAATTCTTGCCTCCGTAAATGTGAATATGCTTGTTGAAGTAATGGTTAAACATGATCTTAAGTAAACCGACAAG